TTTACAGTGCAGTATTTGTAATATCTGCACAAAGGAGACGTCGATCAGCTGCTAGAAGATCTCGCCTTAGGAGAAGACAGTTACAGGTATGTCAGCATTGACAAATTCACTCACACTAATGACTGTCTCATTCACATCCTCCAGTCTCAGTTTCTCTGATAGTGCTGATTTCTGCTGCTGGATCTCTGTTGATTGTAGCTGCAGTTATGATCTGCAGGAAATGTAGAAAAACTGGTAAGGAATTCAACTATTACCTACAAATATTAACTAACGCATTTGGATCAGATATACAGATTCCCATACAAGATTGCAAGCTCTGTTGTTTCAGCATGTCTGTATTATAGTTACTTCAGTTCAGACACTGGAGGAAGACAGAACTGATTCATCAAAATCTCGAAAACCGGTAAGATCATTCATGATTTGAGCTGCAAGAAGTTGTTGCAGTGAGTAAGTCTGATTGAAGCTTGCTGTTTGAAGTTGTGTGTGCAATAGCATCAAACGGACAGAGAACAGATGTAGATGGTAGCTACAAGGAACAGCTTGAAAAAGGATGCTTTTTTAATTACATTTAAATTATTTTTTCCCCTTATTTATTTTCATTAAGTGTATGTACTGTTTGCACCTCAGTGTAAATATTAACATACTTAACTTTGGTTACCTGAAATGAGGGAATGAGACGTCACATCAGTAGTTGATGCTACCCACATGAAAAAAATACTATAGTAAATTATAGTTACCATAATAGTTCATTTATTTATAGTTATACACATACTGATAAAAAAATGTGTAGCCTTAATGCACTGTAAGTCGCTTTGGATAAAAGTGTCTGCTAAATGCATAAATGTAAATGTAAATGTATAGTAAATACTATAATGTTTTTAAACCATACTATAGTAAAATAATTTGTTGTGGTAAATAATTATATAGTTCCTGTGGTAATATAACAACTATAGTCATGTAAACAAATTACTTTACCCAATACTGTAATTCTATACTAGTTTTCAACAACTATATATTGGGTATATTATACCACAATACAGTTTACTGTAGTAAAAACTAAAGTATACTACAATATTTATTACAGTTTAGAAAAAGTTGTGTCTGTTCAATTGCGCTCCTTCCTGCAAAAAAATTATCTCTATGAAGAATTCCAGTCAGGTTTCAGGCCCCACCATAGCACAGAAACTGCACTTGTTAAAATTACAAATGACTTGCTTCTTGCGTCAGACCAAGACTGTATCTCATTGCTAGTTTTACTTGATCTTAGTGCTGCGTTCGACACTTTAGATTGTCCTGCATCTTCAATAAACAAGCTACAGGTAGTCCAAAATGCAGCGGCTAGAGTCCTTACCAGGTCAAGAAAACTACTTGCTACAATCAGCTACAATCTGTCACGCTCCCTAAGGTCTCTGCCATATGTACATTAACTGACAGTCACCACTGATAAGCTACCACTAAATATTGTAGAAACTTAATTTGCTGTAAAGTTGCTTTGCAATGATTTGTATCGTGAAAAGCGCTGTACAAATAAACTTGACTTGACTTGACAATAGCTACCTCACTTTTATTCACGTTTATTCTCTGCCAGTATGTCTGTTCTGTCTTCGGTCTTTGTATCACATCTTTTGGTGTGAATGCGATGTCTGAATTTTTGTTTTAATTTAGTGGTTCATCAGTAGCATAACATCCAGAAACTAAACTAAAATGTTCTATTTTTAGTTTATCACATGGAAATTTAACTAATATTTATTATTAAATATTCATCACACCCATTAGGTGTGCTGTCATGTCATTGTCTGCTATTTACCGTTCTTGTTTTATTCTTTTTTTAAAGAAATTAAACTGGATAAAATGTGCATTGCCTTTTGGATTACAGTATCACACACAATAAGCACAACATCGCTCTCTACTGCTCAAAGCAGAAAATCACATCTCTCTAAAAACAGCACAATTCACATCTGATACAGTGCACTATAGATGATGGCTGTAAAAATAATTGTCATATGTAATGGTTTAACCACTATATGACTGTATGGCTGTTTAATAGACATAGGTCATGTGTATAGCTCTAGTCTAACCCAATAAAAGAAATAGAAGAAATTTGAATGTAATCCAATAAAGAAGTTTACAATAAAGTTAAAAAAGGCAAGGGAAAAGGTAAGCTATTGTAATAATGTATTATAATTTGGGACACACTCATTTGAATTTCGAATACTATTTAAGATTGATAGCCTGAAGATTCAGGATTCAGCAACTGACTGCACTTCTTGGATAGTGGGACAAAAATATCTTCATAGACCCTATACTAAAAATGGCCTATTCAAAAGGGTGAAAAATTAATTTATTGCTATTGCCTGTTTTAATTCAAAATATTGCTTTTATTTAATGATTTTCAGTTTGACCCTTACAGTTTGACTGTCTGTGGTCCAGTTATGAGGTGTCATGCTGTCACGTGTATGTTCCCGTTGAGTTCCTGTTTTCCTTATTTGGTCCTTCCAGTTCCTTTTCACATTATTAGTATCACCTGTTCCTTGTTATTAGTTATCCCCATCACCTGTCTGCCCCTCGTTATCTACCCTATTTAGTTCTAGCTCGTTCAGTTCTCCCTTGTCTGGAATTGTATGTTGATGTCTTCTCCTCGTGCTAAGTGTGATTCCCTGTGACAAGAATAAATCCCTTGGTTTTGTACTCCTGGTCTCCTTGTTCACACTACCACTGACCATGACAGAATCCCAGACCTAAAAGTGACTATAAGTGGCACCCCTTCTACCCGTGTTTGTTTTTTGAAAAGTGTTTTTGTGTTTTCCCGTTCGTTTCTCTCCGTCCAAATGGAGGAACGAGCGATGTTAATCGCCATGGCTCAGGCGAACCCCGACCCGATTCTCTACACGAAGGTGTTCCTGCTGCTAGCCCTCGCCAGCTCCCTTGAGGGAGAAACCCTCCTGATGCTGTTCCGGATCGGGATAACCTACCATCGTCCCGCGGAGCTCCCAGACACCACCAACCTCGGCAGGAAGGGAGTCTTCCGGTGTCTGGAGAGCTTCCGATCCCGATCCGGGACCCATCTGCCGGCCGTTCCCGAGTCAAGTAAGCCGGCGGTTCCTCAGGCAAGCCCGCCGGACGTGAATGTGGCAAGCCCGCTGGACCATAATATGGCCTCCCGAGTCCCCGGCTCCGCCATGGCAACCCGAACTGCCTGCTCCGCCATGGCTTCCTGATCCGCCCTGGAGGCTCTCCTTGTCTCGGCCCAGTTCCAGTCCTGCACCAGCCTCCAGTGTGCCATGGTCCCACGCTGTCCGGGAGGGGGAGCGATCTGTCACGCGTATGTTCCCGTTGCGTTCCTGTTTTCCTTATTTGGTCCTTCCAGTTCCTTTTTTCACATTATTAGTATCACCTGTTCCTTGTTAGTTATCCCCATCACCTGTCTGCCCCTCGTTATCTACCCTATTTAGTTCTAGCTCGTTCAGTTCTCCCTTGTCTGGAATTGTATGTTGATGTCTTCTCCTCGTGCTATGTGTGATTCCCTGTGACAAGGATAAATCCCTTGGTTTCGTACTCCTGGTATCCCCGTTCCGTGCTCCTCACACTACCACCGACCATGACACATGCCGCCTTTCACTCGGGTGATGTAATAATGCAGACTAGCAGAGACACCACAGCTACACATTGGCTGTGTCTCAATGCAATTACTGTAAGCACTGTAATAAATGAGAGTATGTGCATGGTCAGAATGAACTAGCGACGGTATTAAATTATTGAGACTCAAATAGACAGTCAATAATTTAGCTCAGATTCCAGTCGGATATACATATAATCGGATTTGGACTGATAGTGTGAGCATGGGCCCACTGATATCAATAATAGGCCCCATTTTAAAGGTTTTGCTGAATGTCAACTGTAGTAAGTCAATCGTCTGTGAGCATCTGCTAAAACTTTAGACATCTTGTTTCATTGTTGTGACAAAAGACAGTGATAAGTAAGCAGAATTGAAGGTTGGCCACCACTGAATTTTTTATTTTTTTTGCAAAGTAGGTGGAAATGTATCCTGGTTCCTTGTTGAGGGTTTGCCAGCTGCTTTCCAAAAACATTATTAAACAATTTTATTATAAAATATAAAACAAGTTAAATATCAGCTTAATATGATCATTACACTTTCTTGTCATGGTTCAATGTTTCTGTAGGTTAAAGTGTCTGAGTTGTCCATAAAAGCAGGAAGTAGCTCTTCACCTACAAGCTTCATGCTCTAAATAGCTGTTCTGTCATGCACAAGATGTTTGTCCACCCAGCGGAACAAACCACGTTTCTGAAGAAAACCAACCGCAGGTTTGGTTCGGTTTGACTCAGAAACTGCACTTAAGTAAGAATAGTAATGTTCGATGCAGACACTTTGTAACTTTTTGAACGCTGTATTTCCGTGCACAGCAATTGCCTCAAACTGAATATATACAACCATTTTTTAAAACATTAGTGTTGGCTAGATTAATATACAAGAGTAATATTCTTCTACATATTTACCAGTCAGACTGTCGTGAAAAATGTCAATGTTTTCCACCATTATGAACATTAAGATGATAGATAGATAGATAGATAGATAGATAGATAGATAGATAGATAGATAGATATTCAGAACACGTTCAGAGAACATTGTTGAACTGAGCATCAACCTCTGTTGGGGGAGGATTCATCATCAGATCAACAGGTTGAGAGCTTTCAGCAGACAGCAGCAGACATTAGATCAGACTAATGTTAGAAGTTACAAAAGCATTTTTACAGTGTAATTTCTTTAAGTTTCTTTCAGTTTTCTGCTGTTATATACCAGATGAATCAATATCATGAAATTTACTTAGAATTGAGTTCTCTGTTTTAATCATAATTTTAATTTGAAATTTCCATGACTTCTGACAATAAATTTCTCTTGATCAGAAAGCCAAAACTTCAATTGAACCACTTTCAAATTCTAGGCGTCTTTTGTTTCTTTAAATATCTTTTCTCTCTATAAATTCAATTATTACCAGCAATTTCTCAAAAATATTTGTAAAAATACTTCTGCGGTTTCGAGCAGAATTAAACTTTCAAGCTACAATTACTGTGTATTTATTTTTTTTAAATAAATTACGAAAATTGGATGTTTAAACTATATAAAGATAAAGGTATTGTATCATGCTTATCTGTATTTTCATGTATCTCAACTTTCACTTTGCTTCTGTGTCTTTGCTGCTGTTCTGGATGTTATTTGGTTCATATTTAAACAATTTAATTTACAGCTGATTTCAGGCTTTAGAAACCATCAGAAGCTTTCATTTGTTCATGTTAATGTTCTTCAGGTGTGTTTGGTGCTGAAACAAATAAAATACGGATCGTGTTAGTGATGGAGGGAGATTATGTTACTTTAAACACTGATGTAACAGAAATTAATGAAAATGGCCACATACTGTGGAAATTTGGAGCCGGAAACTCTTTGATCGCTAAAATCAAAAGAAACAAACAAAACTCTACATGTGATCTTCCTGATGAGAGCTTCAGAGACAGACTAAAGCTGAACAAACAAACTGGATCTCTGACCATCACAAACATCACAACTCAACACGCTGGACATTATAAACTAGAGATAAGTGGAGCAAAACTGCTATCAAAAACATTCAATATTTCTGTTTATGGTGAGTAGAGATCATTTGTCCTGATTCACCTATTCTTATTTTACTAAGTGTTTACATGTTTAATCATTTTAGATTTTTCGATCACAGACACACTCACTCACTGTATTTACACTAAACACTCACTGACATACCTGGCAATAAAAGCTCATTCTGATTCTGAATCTGAAACACTGAACCAAAAGTAAGATTGTTGACTGGATTTACCCAGGTTTCTGTTCATTCTCTCATGTTTTCAGCTCGTCTGCCTGTTCCTGTCATCAGCAGTAACTCTTCACAATGTTCTTCATCACCATCATCATCATCATCATCATATTGTTCACTGGTGTGTTCAGTGGTGAATGTGGGTCATGTGACTCTCTCCTGGTACAAAGGAAACAGTTTATTGTCCAGCATCAGTGTGTCTGATCTCAGCATCAGTCTCTCTCTCCCATCAGCAACCAGACTCAACACAACATCAACATCACTCAACTCTGTCAACCATGTTTAGGTAAAGCAGCAGTTTTATGATATGATCTCAGTATTTTGTTGTAAATCAGACTGACACATTCACTTCTAGCTTTATTCTTACAGCACTGGATCCACATTCTCCTTCACATCAAGACTCAACTCTAATAATGCTGATCTCTGCTGCTGCTGGATCTCTGTTGATTGTTGCTGTAATTGTGATCTTCTGCATCTACAGGAAATGTAGAAGAACCGATCAAGAAGGCAAGTGTTACCTTTTACCTTATTTTAAATCTAAACATTTTAATTAATTGATAGCTCTAGAAATCTTATGTTTAAAGATTCAGCCCTCTGCTGGTGTTCAAATTAACATTTCTAGGAATGACAATGTAATTTGTTGAGCTTCAATAAAAATTAAAAAGTCATGAATATTGTTATAATTATTGCATACTCTGCTAAGATCTTTTTTTTTTTTTTATGTATGTGTGAACCATTATCATGCCAAATTCATAAATGCAATTAATTAATTTCTTGTCATTTAATAATGGCATTACAAAATGCTTAATATATGTTGTGAAAAACAGATCTATTTGTGTTTTATTTGTGCTTATTTCTACTGTTATTGTCCTTTAAACAGTTCAGACTTGTGATGAAGAAATAACTTATGCCGAGACAACGTTCTACAAAAGAAAAACACGCAAACTGGTAAGAAACTTTAACCTCTGCATTTAGCATTATTATTATTATTATTTTAGCAGTGAGTCAGATTTTAACATGTGCATTTGCATCTGTATAATGATCTGTCAAACACATTAAATCAGATCAGATATTTACAGGTCCCACTTTTTATTAGGTGTCCTTAAATTCTATGTACTAAATAATAAAATTATGAATTGTTAGGTACAGAGTACTTATTGTGTTGGTGTTGAATTGCAAAACACTTTTTCTGCTATTAAGGTGGGGTATGGGTAAAGTTAGGGACAGGTTTGGAGGTCTGGTTAGGTTTAAGGGGTAGAGTAGGGTCAACAGTCTAATTATAGATGTAACCGCAGAAATACTTATGAATGTTTTTAACAGGATGGTATTTTCAAATATAAGTACAATGTGTAAAATTACGTATGCACACAATAAGTCCATTGTATGAAACGCTTAAAGGGGTCCTATTATGCTCTTTTACAAAGTCTTGTTTTTGGGGTGTACTAGAACATGCTCTCATGCTTGGTGGTTTGAATAACGCATTATTTTTCACATAATTTACATTATTAAAATACCTTTCTCTCCAGCCTGGCGCAAACGGGTCGATTAGTTCTGCCTTTGATGAAGGTCCGCCTTCCGAAAAACAAAATGCATTGTGATTGGTTAGCTGTCCCAGTGCGTTGTGATTGGTGAACAGCTTAGATGGTGTTTCAGTACTGCCACGCCCCTTGCTCTGTCTTTCCACAAAAACTTTTGGGGGCTTTAAAATTCAAATACTTTATTTTCTATGAGTGTAGGCACACCGGCGGCGCCGTTTAGCGTCGGTCCGCGGCGCCCAGCTACGTCGTGTTATACTTGTAAGAAACTAGACATGCCGAAAATTTGACGCTGCAGCACAGCAGCTTTTCTTCTTCGTTTTCTCTGATGCACTAACTCTGCAGCAGCACTTCTTCTTCATCGTCTCGTCTGATGCACTCA